TCTCTCGAGAATATATTCTTAATAGTCTAAACTTTAAGAATATGCAAAAACAAAGACTTTTTAAAAAATTTAGACCAGAATATCCCCTTAAAATTGAAATACTCTTTCCTGTAACATTTAGAGAAAATGCAAAAAAAAACGAAAAATATGCTGCTTCATCGTCTAAGTAAATCTTACTTACCTTAAATAAATTACGCTACACGTCAAGATACGTACATTTAAATATGTAACTTAAAAATGAAGGAACGTTTTTTTCGTTCAAATATAATAATATTTTCATATATAAATATTTGTCCTTGGAAACCTTTTTTACATACACGTGGTTAAAATTTTCGACAAAAATTTATATCTCTAAATATTTTCTAAACAAATGAAGATATTTAATCGAAATGGTATTAAATCTTAAAAAGTTTTAACTGAAAGCAGTGCTGTAGATATAAAGTATAGTTATGGACTAAATTGTGGCACGCCATTGAGAAAAACAAAAACATTTTTCGAATTTTATTTTGAACAAAAATTATTTTCTGATTATTTTGTGATGGTTTATATTAAAAAATATATTTATAAAAGATTTAAATTTAATTGGTGTTGCAAAAGTTGTTCAAAATGGCTTCTCTATGCTTCAATGTCTTCATTTGTTGAGAAGACATTTAGAGACCTAATTTTTTATTTAACTTTAACGCCCGGTATCTCAAGAAAGAGGGCCCTTATATTAATGGATGATATACATACAAGATAGTCTAAATTTCAAAGGACTAATAATAGCTTCACTTTTGGGAGATCTTGCATTACACTACACCCTGTATCTTAATTGAACACGGCAAAGGTAATTTATGAAAACTACAATTACTACTTTAATTATGTTTTTTTTATTGCAAATATTCTTCCTGTAAATGGACAATAGGCATATAACAATTGAAAATAAAATACATATCGGCAATATTTTTTTTATTGTTGTTTCTGTACATTAGTATAGATAAATACTAATGTCACCTTTAATTATTTAAAGTTACGTCCAATTTGTTCGCCAATATTTTTGTTCAGTGTACCTATATGTGATACAAATTACAAATGTAGGTTTGACGCAAACTACACAAATGTCTGAGTATTGTAAGAGTCGGTAATCTAAGGAAAGGTTATTTTTGGAATAGGATTTGTAAACATAAGAGCTATTTTAGAACGGGTATTTCTTAATTTAGCTATAATTTTCTTGATTTAATGTTAATTCCAATGTCAAGTTATGATTTTGTGATTTTTTAAATTTTACATATCGCATGCGTGATATAAAAAATAACGAACAGAAGGTATTAAATTATTTTTTGAGAATCATTCAATACGGCAAATAAACCGTCCTTTAATACCACTTGATATACATAGGTACATATTTAAAGATAAACACATTTTACCATATTGGATTGTTTCAAATGCTCAATTTCCGTAAAAATATTTTTTCCATTTTTGTCATGATATAGTCGATGTGAAGTGACATGTTTGCTTTCTTAAACCGAAAATGTTATTTTCGTATCTTAAGATGAACATAAAAATTTCATATTTATAGTTTTCTTCATTTTCATGGAATGTCCCACTAAACATTTTTCAGTTTCTGACATGTTTCAGAAACGTTTCCATTTTTTCTTGAAACGTTTCATAAAAAACCCATGCAACGTTCTGGTAGCGTTCTAGAAGCCCAAGATGTCCTCCCCAAAATACGTTTCCAATGAAACGTTTCAAAAAATTGGTTTCAGTAACATTCTTTTTATGTTCCATTTATGCCCTCGATATTTTTGATATTTTCAGAAATGTTTGAGTAACATAATAATTTGATTACCATATTGTTCTCATAATGCTCTCAACTTTAGATTTTCATTTCAAAAGCGTTTTTGAAATAGTATAGTGTGAGTATTTTTTTAAATATCTCTAATACTCCTTTGTGATATTTTTATTTGTATTGTGAATGACTTAATTCGAACTAAAAAAAGTTACATTGTATATTAAAAAAAAATAAATATGCTCTTCTAGTTTGGGGATGCGGCAACTTTTACTAAGAATTTCTTTCTTTTTGAGAAGCCACTGAAAAAAGTTTCTAATATGGATTACGAATTTTGCCATTCATCGTACAAATAAAAATATCACAAAACAATATCAGAAGCATTAAAAAAAAGCTACACATTTTATATTGTTCAAATACGCTTCTGAAATGGAAATTTTCTAATGTTGAGACCATCATGAATATGGTAACAATGACGAACTGATAATTAGAAAAAGTTAGTTATGATTATGAATGTTGAAATGGTAGGTACATGAAAAACAAATAACATTACTGAAAAATAATATAAAGTTATAATTTCTTCTACGCATGGTCAATATTACATATATCCTTTTAATAATAATAAATTATACAGCAGAAATAAGGATACAAAATGATATCTTGACAAAGTAAATATCTGTAGGTATACCTAAACTCTTTTATTTAAGCATGCCTATACACATAAACAAATATAAACATTTGTACAAAATATAAAATAAATAACGTCTATTTCGCTTGATTCATCCATATTTCAAATAGTTCTCACTGACTAAGTAGTTGCTCTTCAAATTATATCGAAACGTATAGTTGTTGTTCCATTTTCTTAGTTCTTGTCCCTTGTCCTTGTCTTTGTCTGTAATAGGTAGTGGGTATAACTATATTTAGGTAGATGTGACGCAAAATTGGAAATCTCTTCACACATATCGTTTTAAACATTTTGCATCAATATTCATTATTTTATATGCACCTTACAATAACCACAACTGCACACACTACAAATTATCACATAAAATAGCGTCAAAGTAAAGATGAATAACAACGAAACCAAGCAAACTGACAAACCGCAAACCTAACCTAACATAATACGAATTGAAACGACACACGGGAAACAAATAAATTCGACTCGGGCTGTTACGCGCAGTCTACGCAAGTCACAAACATACATTTTTTCTAGACTGTGTTATAAATATGCTACCACATTTTTTTTTCTAATTATGTCTTTGTATAACAAAGGCAAATGAACTAACGCTTGAGAGGGATTGGCGATTGAGAGCAAAATTTAACTAATACCGAATGTTCCATAAGATAAGCAAAAATAGCAAAGGGTTGTTCGTCTGTTATGTTTCCGAGATCGAAAGGGAATGTTTCGAGTAATGTTTCAAACTCTCTTCAATTGTAACGTTTCGGCTATGTTTCACTAAATAAGTTTTCAAGTGCTACATTTCTGTAATGAAACAGAAACGTTTCTAGTTAATGTGTCAAATGTTTAGTAAAACATCTCATTAACAACGTTCCATTTACGTTTCGTGTTTAGTGGGTATCCAATGGTATATAAGTGATTTATTTGAGTTACATTACCTATTTATTATATTTTTTCTCTATTAAATTTAATAACTGCAATGGAATAGATTCATTTGTAGACTCTGTGGAAACAATCCTTTGTCTGGTTTAATGGACGAAGTAACTGTTAATCTCTGATTTTAAATCATTAACCTTGGCCGTTATTCGACATGTTTTCAATTAAACTGGATGAAAATCGAAACACAAATGGATCCGTAATAACTCTCACTCCAAACACGCAATATTTAATCACTTTCGTTTGTCGGGTGGAGTTTCTGTTTCAAGAATAACATCCCCAATTCTCACATCAGCGGTATACGTTTTGCTTCCAATCAAAACTTTACGATTTCTGCTGATAGGCACTGCATTCGCTTGTGATTTATAATAGTTGCAGTACCTAAGGAATGTCATAAAGCTAAAACGAAACCGTTTTTTTGCCCCTCGAGTTGATGGGTTTTGTAAGTAAGCGGAAATAATTATTTCCTTAATTTCGGAGTAGACCTTAATATGTATGTTCTCGAAAATCGATATGTTAAGCAAGTACGGACAATTTTAATGCGAATTTGCAGACCATTCAGTTTTATTCACTTCCAGCTGAATGTAAATATGTTTGTAACATTTATTTTAATGCAAATTGGAGACTAACAACACTTAAATTGGAATGCAAGAAACAAAATAGGTAATTTGCAACGCATGCAACCAATCAAGGGACAAATATCATGGGTACAAAATGAGTCAATTTCGAAATTATTGGGAAGTTTCTCAACTTTAGTAAAAATGTTCTAATTGTGAGATCAATTTTTAGATTTATTTAAATTTTTAGAAATGAAAATCGCTTCTCGATACTTTAATTTGTTTAAAAGATATAGTTCGTTTTTCGTTTTTTTAGATGTCGGTTAACTTATTTATAAAAATTTTATAATCTTATATACGGTTTCATACTAAATTTTTTGCGTTAAGCATTTTTTTGTATAAATTTTTAATACTTTGTTATGATGGAACATCGGATATATTTTTCAGTTTCTAAATCTACGTAATATTTCCTATCAAAAAATAGTAATGCATCATATTTAAGTAAATATTTTTTAGAATATATACAAAAAAACATTTTTTAGGGTACAAATTATTTTTTTATAAACTGTTTGTTGATACAATTAAGTATATCACAAATGTCTGATTTATCTATGAGAAAAATTCATGGCACCATAAATTATATAACAAAATAGTAGAATTTGCAAAAATATTGTTTGCAAAACATTGTTTTATATATGTACATACATCATGTGTCATTTGAAAGAAAATTTTACACATACCTAAAAGAAATAGAAGTTTGGATTACTACCGAAAAATCGGAAGCAATGTATACACCACACATTGTGGCTATTAAAAACTCCTTTACAAAAATCACTTTTTTTAAATAAAAATCCCTTGTATCTCTTAAACAAACCGAATATCGAGATGCGGTTTCCTTCGTTCAAATTTCTCGAAAGTCGACTCCATTGTCTATTAAATGGTATCACTTCTTATCAAGAACTGAAAACTGCAATCTCTTTTGGTGGGGGTATCACTGTTACCTAATGATGAACAATACTCTCAGTGCAAAATCTAACGATCGAATATAATAATTTCATAGGTTTGCGAGGAAACTCTAGCAGCCCACACAAGACGACTAGCAGAACTGCAAGAGCTGGTTGCCGGTATAGCATCTGCAGTCGGCCTTGACGCCAACGCATTGTTAGGAGGAGAAGTCCAGGCACTTGGCAAACGGTTAGAAGACGTTAGGGAGTCTCTCACGGCTCTCGCTGACGTTGCCGAGACCAAAGCCAAGGCGAAACTCGAGACGCAAGATGAAATTAATGGCGCCAGAAGCTACTTAGATTCAGTTCAAAAGGTGAGTGACCAACAATTAGTTAAAAAATTAATTGATTGCAAACTAAAATCTTCGCAACAGTAGTAGTACGATATATAAAGGTTATAAATGAAATCTTATCTCTTCATCCGCAGAGTGTAACCAGCCTGGAAGGTGCGGAGTTAGACCCTGACACTGAGGACAAACTGTTATCATTAAGAGAACATCTTTTAGCACTGAGCAAAGCCGAAGGTCAGATTCAGAAAATTAAGGACAAAACTATCGAGATTTCTACAACGAAAACCGAGACTTCTGTCATAGAAATCTTAGAACTTTGGCAACAGGTATTTAGGGAAACATTCCAGCAGTATCATCGTTTAAGCACTCGACTTGTTAAAAACGAGGACGGAGCAGCGGCACTGAAATTATGGCAAGAGTATCTTGTTAATGTGCAACAATTCCTGCAAGGCACTATTCCAGGGGACTACCACAGTCTCTCTGAACATCAACATCTCTGTCAAGTGCACCAAAATCTGCTCACTACCCAACAAAATGTGTTACAACCGGCAACTAAAACAGAGGATCAGTTGGCAAAAGAACTAGTCGAATCTAGTGTAATGGAACAGTTTAATTCTCTAACCAACTTGCACAACGAAACTTTATCCAGGATTATAGATAGGCATTCGGAAGTTCAGAATCGTCTAAACGCTTGGGAGCGATACAAAGAGGATCAAAACAATCTTCTAAACTGGTTAAAGAACATTGAAAAGGAACGTGAACATATGCAACTCAGATATATGCATATAAGACGCATTCCCAAACTCCTATCTCGAATAGAAAACCTTCTGGAGAAGCTGCCACAAGGAGAAGAACAAGCGGACAACCTACAGAGACAACAAAATCTCCTTCTTCAATTCTGTGATGACGCTCTAGCCACTTCTATTAGGATGGAACACGTCGCGATCAAACAACGCATTTCCAATTTACAAGCTGGTCTGCACACTTGGAAAGAATTCTTGGAACGCATTTCTCTTCTAGTCAAAACTCACGAGGAACGTGTGGCGAAAGTACAGAAAACCTTTGATAACATCCAGGATGTTATCAATGAGTCTGATACTCAGGCACCGACATCTCACGCAGGTGTTAGCAGCCATCTAGATATTTTGCATAGAGCAAGAGATAGACTGAATATAACGAACCAAGACTTAGAACAGTTAATTTTAACACAAGAGCAACTAAAGGAGTGTCTTAGCCCTTCTGATACAAAAACAATAAACCAAAGAATGTGGCTAATATTACATCAGAAAGGTGATTTAGAGCATCAACTAGCAACGTTGTGCCATAAATTGGAAGAAAAATTAGGAATGCGGTCAATGTTCGAGGCTAGACAAACTAAATTTATCAGTTGGGTAGATGAATTAGAAAAACGTCTAATTCAAGAAACTGAGGGCACTCCTGCTGTAGCTGATCCTAGAGAGATTCTAAGACGGTTGGAATCTGAATTGCAAGCAGAAATGGCATTAAAAGAACGAGAATATAATTGGCTGCTTAAGACGGGACAAGAACTTGTAGATTCCTGTGGAGAAGAGTATGCTGATGTAACGGCCAAACAAATAATTCAAGCTCGAACTGATGAGGTATCTGTTAGATGGGAAAGGCTTGAAAATTTAGGAAGAAGTCGCGCTAACAAAATACATGATCTGATGCAAACAATTTTGCAGTTAGAGGAACGAATAGCACAAATTAGAGCTTGGCTTAACCAGATAGAACTGCAATTAGCAAAACCGTTGATTTTTGAAGCATGTACCAAAGATGTAATAGATCGTAAACTCCAAGAACATGATAAACTCAAGAAATCAATAGAAAATGAGAGTGGTAACATAGGAGAAGTACTTAATCTTTGTGAATTACTTTTAAATGATCCTGATGTTAATAAAGCTCATTTTTCCACAGAAAATATTGCAGTCGCAATTCAAAACTTAGAAAAGAGATGGAAAATTGTCTGTGGACAATCAGCCGACCGCAAGAGAAAGATTAGTTTCATCTGGAAACTACTTCAAGAGGTTTTAAAGTTAAGCAGTGATCAAGAACAATGGCTAGTGGAAAAAGAGCAACACATCAAAGATCTTGATAAACCTCCCAAGAAACTCAGCAGAGAAGAGATACAAGAACTCATATATGTTGTTGAAAATGAAATAAAAGATTATGAATCTCGTACACCTGCTTTCCAAATTCTCGAACAAACTTATTCTAAACTGGCCACCGCAACAGGCATAGAACCAGAAAACATTCAAGAATTAACTTCTCGAGCACGTGTAATCATTGCAAGATGGGAAAACCTTATGCCGAAAGCACAAGCCATTTTACAGAGGTTACAAATTGAATTAATTCCGTTTAGGGAATTTTCACTGGCACATGAAGATGCAGTAGTTGGATTGAGCAAAATTGATGCCCAATTAACAGAACTGCAACATTTAGCTCCTCCAGAAAAAGTTCCACCTAAGGAACGTTTACAAAGGCTACAGGCAATTGAACAACAGTTAATAACTCAAACTCCTAACTTAGAAACTGCTGATAAACTGGGGTTACAAATAATGAAAAAGAGTAAAAAACAAGAAGTGACAAAGATACAAGAAATGATTGATGAATATCAAATTCTCTGTAAGGACGTCCATGAAAGAATAACTTTGATTAAAACTGAAATAGCAAACCAGATCAAACAAGAGCCTCGAGAGGTTGATGAAAGTGTGCAAGTTGAGACTTTGAAATTTGAGCAAGATACCGCTGTCCAAGTTAATACTTTGCCACCTCAGTTGCAAAGAATGACGTCAATCAGTGCCAAAGATGCATATTTGGTTGAACTAGAAGCTGCCATAGTCGAGTGCAAAGAAAATCTTACTGAACTGGAATCATTTGTAAAGAAAGAAATTCCTAAACAAGGATCACCAGAACTACCAACCAGTAGTAAGAAAATTGCCAAAATGTCAGCCAAATGTCAGGCAAGCACTGAACTTATTAAACATCTACATGACCTACTTATAAATGAGTGTGATGCCACTGAAATTGAGGCTTGCTCGGAAGACGTTCACATTTTGATAGAACAGTTTGATATACTGCTAATAAAAGCTAAAGAAAAGGAACAGAAACTAAGAGAACTTAGGTGAGTACTGATATTAAACTAGTCTGATTTTAGTAGAACTAATTTTTTTCTATAACAATACTAACTGGTGTTTGGTCTTTCCTACAGAACTACTATCTCCGATGCTTATAATCTTTTATGCACACAGTAAGTAAATAATTTTTCTTTGCTCTATTTACATTAGGTTGTCGGTTCAGTTTATTTTATACTTATATATTATAATTTCTCAATTTTTATGTAACTTCTAAACGTCTAACTAGAATCTACTGATTTTTTAAAAACCTTTTAAATCTCAAAATATTTATTCATATGCCGATATTTATGAAAATTTAATTTGCAGTGAGGCTGGTCGACTTCTGTGCCCCTTATGTACAAAACGCAATTGGGCCCAACTGGACAATGACTTGTGGCGTTTAGAAAAATGGTTGCAGGTAGCAGAAGGTACCCAAAAAGCACACAAGAATCCCCCTACCAACATTGAGCAACTCGAAGATGTTATCCAGGATCAAAGAGAATTCCTGCTCGACCTTGATAGTCACAGGAGTATTGTAAGATCGCTTAATATTGTTGGCACACATTTGGCTGACCATACTGAAGACACTGCGAAAGCAACTGAGTTAAGATCGCGATTAGAAGCTGATAATAAGAGATGGGATTTGATCTGCCGTCACGCTACCGATTGGCAAATACAACTTCAAAGAGCGCTCATGGATGTAAGACATGGTTTTATTTAATAATTTGATACAAATGACTATTGATTTTCTTTTTCAGAACCAACAATTCCATAACATAATATCCGAATTGTGTGTGTGGTTAGAGAAAAACGAGAAGAAAATTCGTGCTTCAGAACCTGTAGATTTGACTGCGCCTATCGAAACGATTGAATTGAAATATCATAACTTCCTCGAATTGCGAGCAGAATTGGAAAGATGTGAACCTAGAGTTCTAAGTCTTCAGGAAGCTGCCAATCAGTTACTAAGAGAAGAAGATGCCCCAGAGGGGTCAAGCTTAATTTGCAGAAGGCTGACTGAACTCAGGCTTAAACTACAATCACTGATAAGGCTAACAAGTGTTTATACACTGAAATTAGGCGCAGTCTTGGGACGGGACCCCAATGAAATAGGTTTGGCAATTGCAGCTAGTCCAACAGTAGGCGCACCCTTACATTCACTGAGTTATAACGTAAGTTTAACCAACCGTTGCGATATTCTGTAAGTTGTAGACTTGTTTAGTCAGTCTTTATGTATTTAGATGTAAGAGCTTGAAAAATTAAATAACATGTATTGTGATAATCAGTCAATTAATGTGCCATTGTTATTGTAACTAAATTGTGTGGTGTAGCTACCTAAATTGCATTTGTAAATGATATGATTAAGTATATAAGAAGATAAGCACGTTGTTTTTATCATATTTTTCAGCAATCAAATTATAGAGTTTATACATTTTTTGTGACGATTTATTCTTTTGGCTTATTATAACTGAAAGAATGAACCGATCCGAAAATGGTAGTTGTAGATTACTGTTTGAGATTTTATTTTTTTGAATAGCACTGTTGATTTATAATGTTATTGTAACATTAAAAGCACTCTTTTATATTTCCTTTGCGTTTTGGACAGCTTTTGGACCAACCAAGTCAGGACCATCCATCAACCTCTGCACCAGATGATTCCGTTCACAAGTAAATATTTTTTTATTTTTTCTATAACCAACTTTTCATCTTATATCTGTAGTTAGGCGTGTTTCAAATACAATTCTATAGATCCGTTTATAGAATGTGTAAAAAAATGGAGGATGATAGAATATGAAAAATGTGGCTTATCCTCTTTTTAACAGTTTGGTAGTTAAGGGAAAAAAATAAAATTATTCTTCACAACAGCTTAGAAAATATGACTGCCAATATTATTTATTTATTTTTTGATTATATTATGAAAATTGTCTACAAAAGAATTACTCAGTGGCGCAAATATGATAGGGGAAATAATTTGAATTTTATGTATTTTTAGGTATTTTTAAGTAAGAGTTCGCCTTTTTTATTACTTTAAGGCTGCAATTTTTAGTTTACAGGGTTTCAAAAGTAATAGTGTAATGTATTACATAATTGCATTAGGAGTATAAAATAAAGAAAAAATATATTGTTTTGAGAATTTATAAGGGTGTTAACAAAATTATATATATTTTAATAAAATTTTGAACTTTCAGTCTTTCAGAATAAGAGTACCACACTCTTGTTAAATATTGATCTTGATATATTCTTGATTCATTTTATATTAATACCAGTTTGTAGCAAATGTAAGTAACATACAAATAAAAATATCGTATATATGTACCTAACTCATTCGTTGTACCAGTATTCCCTTTGGAGCTCTGTATCTAAAGTATTGCAGCCTAATAAACTAAGAGAAATCACTTTTTGCTTATAAATATCTGAAAATTCAGAATCATTTAAATTATTCACTGACATGAAAGTTACAAAAGGAAATAGGTTAGAAATCTCTTACATCAAGTCACTCAATGATTATTTAGTGTTTTATCAAAAAGTGTAGTGTACCAGAGTAAATAATAAACGAAAAATATTTGTTCATTTACAAGCTGCTCATAAAAGTAATTTTATTATTTTCTAACTACTACTATACCATTATACAGTGTGTCCCAGAAGTAACGCAAAAAATTCATATTTAATCTTGTGTTGCGTTTTCACAAAAACGCTAAAACACGTCAATTAGTAAATATTAATTGTCATTTTGTCACGTTGCTTAAACCTTTTTTGTGCTATGCTTCATAAACCTATGACGTCATCGACATTTTTTAAATAGCACTACCTAATTTTTTAAGCATAAATAGATAGCCCTTTTGAAGGGAAATGCGTCGATATAGGATTTGGCCTACTTTACTTTGACAGAAGCGAAAAAAAGCCAATGATTGGAATGGATATGGCTTAAAGTAACAACAAAAGTAGGTATCATAAACTGATGCGAGAACAGTGCCAGAGCAAAAAATGGGAATTTGTAGATGTTTTGTGTTTTGGTTGATTATAGGTACATGTTTTTATGTATTGATATGTTGGCGTTTTCGGCGCCAAGCGTGGATTTTCAGTGACAGCTAAACATAATATTTTGCCTATCATTTTCCGACACTGTTGTTGGCCTTCCAGATCTAGACAGGTCTCTAACATGTCCAGCGTCTTCAAATTTGCGTACTAATCTGCATACTGTAGATGGAGGTATTGGTTGTTCTGGATACTTGGCATTAAATAATTGACATACTTCATCATAACTACGGATCCAATCTCCGTATCTAACCATAATTAGGATTTCAATTTTCTTTAAACGCAACACCATCGTAATGTAAAATTATGGTATTTGTAACTGTCACAATGATATGAGGCACTGTTGCATTTGTTAACTGTCGTCTTCAAAACAATGCCTATATAGCCGCTGTGATCGGGTGTACCTACCCAATCTACATAAAAACATACCTACAACCAACCAAAATACATTTTTTGCTGTGGCCCTGTTTTCGCATCAGTTTGTGATACCTACTTATTATTTTAAACCGTGTTCATTCCAATCGTTGGCTTTTTTTCGCACCTGTCGAAGTAAAGTAGGCCAAACCTTATATCGACGCATTTCCCTTCAAAAGGGCTATCCATTTATGCTTAAATAATTAGGTAGTGCTATTTAAAAACAATGTCGATGACGTCATAGGTTTATGAAACATAGCGCAAAAAAGGTTTAAGCAACGTGACAAAACGACTATTCCTATTTACTAATTGACGTGTTTTAGCGTTTTTGTGAAAACTCAACACAAAATAAAATACGAATTTTTTTGCGTTACTTCTGGGATGCACTGTATATCTAACATTACAACATTTTTGGTGCTCTATCATTCCCTAATTTCTTTTACATTTGCTTTGATTCACCCTGTGTATAAAACTTTCTTAATATTTTCGAAAATATATGAAAGATGAAAAATTGGTACCTACATATGTAACAATAGTGCTTATTTTTGCATGAAGTAGAAAATAAATTAACCAAAAAAAAACTATCAATATGAAATTTCCACGTTGATGTCAAAAAGATTTACATGAAAATTGAAAAATTATATAATAATTGCAAATATAAATTTAAAAATCAATGTTTTTCCATTTTCTGAATATACCTTTTAACTTGTCATTTTGTGTGTTCAGTTATTAAATAAATTAAATTAAATTAAATAAATTAAATTTTTTTCTCATTTCACGTAAACATTAATTAAGTTTAATACCTATATAATGAGAATTTTTTACAAGTATTGACAAACTTGACGTTTATTAGGTATCTTTTTAATTTGATTTAACATTTTGAAAGATGAATTTATTAAATGATGTTCTAAAAAGAGCACTTGATCAGTAATGATTTTTTAATAGTCTTCGTATTTGATATATTCTCTTTTTTAATTTTCAGTGGTTCTGAGGACGATATAGAAATAAACACTTCAGTGCTAAGAAGAGGATACAGATTTTTGGGTAGAGTTGTTAGAGCTTCTGTTCCTATTCAAGCCCTCATGTTACTAATGTTAGGGGCTGCTTCTCTAGTTCCTTATTCTGAAGATGACTATTCTTGCTCACTAGTCAACTCGATAGCAAATAGTCTTACTCCTACTTTACGATATAATGATGGACCGCCTCCAATATAAACTACTGGAAACAATACTCATTGTATACTACAACAAGCCTCTAAATTCATTCCAATTTATTTGAAGATTTTAATACATACACCAAATTCATCTCCAACAAGTTTTATTTTGCTTGTGTTTTAAAATCTTTAACATTACTTTTTTAAGTTTAAGAATTTCGACTTTTGTACTATTTTGTAAATAAACGTGACTTATTTCCATGGATTTTGAATTCTGGCAGCTTAAATATGATGTGACACATTAAAATATTGACTAGAATTTGTAATATTCTTTATATATATTAGTAGTATTAGTTTTTGTATTATTATGCGACAAATTGTACATTTTATTCACTTTTATCTGTATATTGGGGAAACGCACAAAAGTGTGCTAAAAGTTTATGATATATATTTTTTATTGTTGTTTTATAAATTTTTATTGATGGTTGTGAAAATTAAAGTTTGTAAATCAAAGGAGTGGAACACTTTGATTCACAAATAAATTAATTTTACTGTGATGATTATCTCGGTTTATATAAAAAAATTCAAAATGATCTCTCCACATTTTGATTTTTTTACATTTTTTCGAATCTAACCAATACAGTTTCCTCTCCAGAACTGTATGGTAAATAAATGCTTGAAATAAATAACTCCCAATTTATTTTAAGCAAAATCTCCACTAAACCGAGATAGGAATATATGCCTTAAAGAATGTTTTTTTATTATTTCTATTGTTGCTTTTGCATATTTTATTTTTCTGGTCACGGTGCTATAATTTTTTGTTAACCGTGTTAACATTTTTAAATTGCTTTTGACTATATAGATGCTTCAATGTGTTTAGGAACCCATTTATAAAAAGATAGGATTGTTTTCGCAATAAGTTTATTACTTTATTTGGCATCTTAATATTATAATATATGATGTTTAATTTATAAATATAATTTAAAAATTACAAAATTACGTTCTTTTATTTCTAATGTCCTACAACAATCCCCAGTTAAATAATTGAAATTATAAATCATTACAAAACTGATGCAGTTCCATTTTGGCTGCTCCATGCCAAAACACAGTACATGAAAAAAAATTAATTCGAAGTAAAAGTTTATGACGGCCCTTCTAATTCACACAGACGGATCAAATCTTTCTTTTTATTACAATTCTTTAGTAGTGTGTATTATTACAAGGAAAATTAAGCTCATTTTGGAAAACGAGTTTTGATATACTGTGTTTTGGGATAGCGAATAATCGAAAGACACAGCAACTGCAGAAACACAAAATTAAACTTATATTAGAACGAAATAAGTAAATATGAATATGAGCGTATCAAAAAGAAAATAAGGTTCACATCTTATATGAAAACAACTGTCCCTACCCACGAAACACGAAACGTAAATGAAACGTTGCAAATGAGATGTTTTACTAAACATTTGAAACATTAACTAGAAACGTTTCTGTTTCATTACAGAAATGTAGCACTTGAAAACTTATTTAGTGAAATAAAGCCGAAACGTTACAATTGAAGAGAGTTTGAAACATTACTCGAAACATTACCATTCGATCTCGGAAACATAACAGACGAACAACCCTTTGCTATTTTTGCTTATCTTATGGAACAATCGGCATTAGTTAAATTTTGCTCTCAATCCCCAATAATTCTCAAGCGTTAGTTCATTTGCCTTTGTTTATATAGACATAATTAGAAAAAAAAATGTGGTAGCATATTTGCATAATGCAACACAGGATTCCAAGTAATGATCCCACTTGTTGGAATTTTTCTTCTAGAGCTTACAGAAAGAAACTTGTTGAGGTTTTGATCAATAAAATTTAGGATCCGCTTATGGATTAAAGCAATTGTTGTAGGACAAAAATTTCATTTTTTTCTTAAAAACCTTTACAATGATTTAGAACAAACTTGTATTCCAAATTTTGCACAATAAATTAATTGACGTAACATTTCCTAAAAAGAGAATTAATTCACATATATCAAAATTAAAGTAATTCCGTAATAATGAGATACATTTCAACATGTTGCAACATGCAATTTTCTTAGAAGACATTGACGAAACCTTTAACGATGACCCGCCCTCAAAGAAAAGAAAGACAAGTTTAAAGTTTCATTCATTTCAAGCCTCTTCTACCAAAGATACCACGAGCCGCCACTGGTATCTACGTAGGTATCTGAAGCTTATTTTAGTAAAAAAAAAATGTCAGTTAAGTACTGTGTTTTGGCATGGAGCAGCCGATTATGAGTTAGAATGTGAGAAATGAAAGAAAAGCAAACTTAGTTCAGTGTCGACCAAGACGTTTTCGCAGTTTGCAGATTAACTAATAATTTTAAAAAAAATCTAATTTGCGACCAAATTTTTCTGGTTCCAAAGACAAGGCGGCCCACGAAAGTGTTTTAAGGGGGTTTCTCGCCAAAAAGCGTAGCACTGTGAGATTCCACATGTCATAAAACCCCTGTGTACCAAATTTAGTGATTCTCGTACAGCATGGTTTTGAGATATAAATTTGTCTTAAGAATCTATGACCAAATTTTGTTGCATGAATTTCGGGACACCCTGTATAAAGCATACTCCAAAAAAATATATACTTGTCGAAATTCGGTACCATGTACTATTTTCGAGAAAAATGAAGTTTCATCGAAGCAAATGTGGGACAATTTAAGCATCTAGTGTAGTATTTCGAGTTTTACTCTTTTATTTAATTGTGCAGCTATTTTGTTCTGTCTGTTTCCTAATATTTTTCAGTTCTTATCACTTTTTTTAAGCATTCATGACTTGCGACCCATATTACAATACCTACTAGTAGTCACTGATTTTCTGAGTTGACTGTAATTTCAGTTTGATCTTTAAGTCATTGTACCTGCCAATTCTTAATAAGTTACGATAAGATATACCACGTTACCTCATTTTTCGATATAGATACACACATACGACGAATTAAGAGTTATTTACAACGTGCCTAATTTTATTGAAATAATTCGTAAAAACAATCAAATAGAATAAAAAATGCTGGAGATAAAACTAACCAAGTTGATGTTATTAAATTTAGTACAACTTATTATAAAAACTGTTAAAAATGACCACCATTGTATCTACAACAAAGGTTAATTCGGCGAAGAAAGTTAAATGACACCCATTGCAGTTCTTAAGGATATTTTTTAAAACATTTATGGTATTTTGGATGTCTCCACAACTCTTCTTCAGTGTTAGATATGGAAGCATGCACTGTTGTTTTCAGTGCCCCAAAGATAATAGTCGCAAGGTGTTAAGTCTGGTGAACGTACAGGCTAGTTAACAGAAACATTATCCCTCTACCGATCCACCGATGAGGGAATTTTTGGTTTAGATACTACCGCATATTTACCGAGAAATATGGTGGAGTGTGTCATCATGCATAAACCACATGTTAGTTCTGAGTAATAACGGCACATCTTTCAATCGAATTTTGCAAAAATTCTAAATAAATTTCCCCATTTCAGTCTATTGGGTAGAATAACAGTCAATATAGTGCTATCAATGATCCCAGACAAAACATTGATGTGAAATTCATGCTGATAATGTTTCACTGATAGCATGTGGATTTTCTTGAGCATACACATGTTCATTGTGAATATTTATTATTCCGCTTCTGGTAAAACATCGTATCACCTATCAAATAAAAAATAATTGTCATTATTGCCCGAAAGAGGAAAAAGTCATGAACGGATATTATCACCTTACATCAATTTTGTAGGAGTTCCACACCCCAAAAATAATCAAAATCGATTAATAGGTATATATTCGAGTTATTGACAAAATTCAAAAAATTTTGACGAACTTTGAGGCCAAACGAGGTAATTTCGGATATAGATGAATTAGCATAAATCTGCCTATTTTGAGTCCACGAATCTGTGGTCTTCCGTTGTGCACGTCATTCTGGGACACCCTGTATAGTAGTAGTAGAGTGGGTATGAATCGTCGAGAAACAGATTAATATCGAGCATCCATTCTTACCATTTCTCCTGAAATATATTTTTTCAAATTAAACATTTTCAGATTTGTTTTCACTAACTATTTCGCGCTGATTGACTGAACTAAAGAGGTTTTCCTTGAGGCATTTCAAATTAATGATTCAATCATAAACTAGTTGGAACTGAATAAAAATATTTCAAAATATGCAATATAATAAATGGTGTCTCATAAGTAACATAAGATTTGAATTGTGCGCCATTTTCATTCCGAAAAGTTAGCAGCATTGTGCAGGCGGGTCACATATGTTGTAGTAACGTAGCAAACAGGTTGTCACGTTGAGGTTAGACAAAATGAAGCGCTATATGACGGATGAGCGAATGCAGACTGTGAAAATTCATTACAAATGCGGAGAGTCTGTAGCTGAGAGTGTAAAAACTTTTTAATTGATAAAATCTTTGTTCCTCATATGAAACCCTGCCTTTCTTTAGGGACTCCCTTTATGATAATTTATTTACAATAAACAGTCCAGAGTATGCCTTTAATATAAGATGAGTGAATGGTATTGTGTTCAATGATCATGTACTGTGTTCTAGTGTTTTTATGAAGGGTGTCCGTTAGTTTTATAAAAAATTTAAACCACTTGAAAATTTTTAATGACAAATATGCATTACAGTAATAAACGAGTCTTTATTCTGTACAAGTGTCTACCAGACAACGAGTGGCAACCATGTTTGTGAACCAACTAGCAGACTTCCTTGGAATCCTGGTTCTTTCCGGATCGGTGAAGTTGACGTAGTACATGCCCAAAAATGAACTGTAAAAAATAATGTAATTTATAGTAAATTACATTTCTATTAATATCAAATTAAATCACAACAATCACTACGTGTAATATGCGTTTAACAACGGTTTCATCAATATTGTGCCTTGTGGAATAACAATCGTCTGTAAAATAAACTGTACTAGCTTTTAATGTTTTTCAACAAAATATTATTTTAAATATATGCTACTTACGTGTATCCAAGGGTCCACTCCCAATCATCGATAATACTCCAAGCTGTGTAGGCTGACAAATTGACTTCGTCTTCATATATGGCGTCCAAGCAAGCGCTCAAATATCCCTTGGAGCAAAAATATCAAAAATTGAACAATAAGAGGTGAACGTACTAAAAATTACCTGATAATATGACACTCTATGGTCATCTTCCATTATTCCGGTGTTATCAGAGAGACCATTTTCTGTAATAATAATTTCCACATCACCATAGGTCTTCTTCAGCCACACGAGAAGACGTCTCATACCCCATGGAACAACCTACATGTTGAAATAACATTTCTCATAAACTTGATAACTGAAAAAAGTATGCAATCATCATACTTACGGCAAACCAATCAGCAGAACCGCTTGGCCATTCCGGTTGTCTCCAAGTCAAGACGCTTATGTCATTGTCGTAACTTGGATCTCCGATGGGTGCATCTGCGGTGGCGTTGACCATTAGGGTCGAATAATGGTTTAAGGCCAAGTAATCATAGGTACCTTTGATGTAAACAATTTCCTCGTCGGTGAAGGCGGGTAAGCGAGAGGAGGAGAATCCTTCCAATTCACTGCGTTCTGCGATTCTGTCTATCACCACTTGAGGCCAGTTGCCCATGAAAATCGGGTTGGCGTAGAGGCCAAACTAAAATTTTGCCGTATATCGGCAGAATGTTAACAAATACAAAAATGTATACAGTTCTGGATCACAAGATGAATAGACGAAGAAGTATACATCTGAAAATGATACCATATTATTACATTTTTACCATTGAAGTGAGCAAGCTCAAAGTCCCTTCGAAGTCGATATGTATGAAGAAATTGCGTTGTCGAAACAAACAGAGTTAAACGTTGCCTTGATGCAGTGTATCCGGAAGAACCAATGATGAAAATAAATAATGTGGCAACATCATAGACTTTGTTTAGGCTGCCCTAAGCGAACATCAGTCAAAATGAATAAGTGTGATTCGAGTGTACCACATGATCGATCAACAGTTTAGTCGATGGGTCAGATTTTGAATTACGATTTTGGTGGTCGGGTTGGTCGGGTTCGACCTTGCACTTAACGCAGCCTTAACAACAAATAGCTCTATGCGTGTTCTTTTGCACTGTGCACTTTTCCCTGTAATCGGGAAGCAACCGGATTTAATAAAATAAATATCTTACAGTGAACTGTAGCATTCTTTCTGCTGCTTCTTGGTCTTCTTCACTGTCACTTCCGGGTTCGAACCATGTCGTATCAATGACTATAGTAATCGTTCCTTCAAAAGTACTAAACTGGTAGATTAAATAAAAATATGACGCAAAGAAAAAAAAAATAAACAAGATACCACAAACATAAAAACTCTTGGCAAGCAGTAGCTGCATATAAGTGTCCATAGACTTTCAATTAATGTAAAATAAATAACGGATCCATTTTTCGACTATTTGTAATTTAAAAAGACGGTGAAGCTCCTTGAATTCTTTAGGATGTGACACCTGAATTTCTAGATTTATGAATACAAGGAAGTGCACAAACTTGACGAGAATTTTTTCTTTAAAATAACTAAAAAATTTTTTATAAACCTTAGCCCTAGAATGTTCAGTTTCCGAGATGTTACTTAAAATTTTTCGAGGGCATATAGATCTCTTTAAAATAATATGTGTTTGCCTTATACACATTGGTCTGGAACAGTCCCGTTTTAGAGATACAGGGTGTTCAAGTTGTTAAAAGACGTAAAAGATATACTTACCGGATACATCTTAATACACAAAATACGTAAAAAAAGTTACTTGAATTTTTTTTCTAAGATTCGCCGTTTTCAGGTTATTCATACCAACACAATCCCTTTTTTCAGACATTTCTAACCATAATATTATAATTATATTTATGTTTATGCTTAAAAGTAAGTGGAATTTGTAAGCACATCAACAAAATTCTTTACACTCGTTTCCACATCACCTCTGAGGTAGAATTTCTTATGCGTTTTAGTTTCCCCTGGAAGCCTAATCCACTATCTTTACAAATAAGAACAACTTAAATCAAAATAAAAATAAATGTACATTTACCAAAGGCGAGGGTAGTGAATTTTCAGAATCTGCATATTTGGTCAAAAGAAAATCCTCATGAAATTCGGACAAAATCTTTTCAACGCAAATTTTTTGTGAACGTGTGGCTCGGAATAATTCACAATAAAGTTTGTGGACCTTTCTTCTTGCCAACCCGTCTAAATTCCCAGTCATTTCTAAACTTTCTAGAAAACCATCTATTTGAATTATTAGAGGATGTTCTATTAAATATACAACAAAATAGCTGGATACGATGGATAGTGTTCCTGCGCATTCTGGGAGAATCATATAAGAATGGCTTAATGAAAATTATATGGGGCGATGGATAGGTAGAAGACCAAATGCTAATGTCAACCATAATGGTGCAGAGGGTCCAGTGTCTTGGCCAGCCAGATTGACATATCTAAACCCCCTGAATTTGTATGTTTGGCGTTATCTCAAGAAGTAAAGTTTATTCTACTCCAACAGATACAAGATCACAACTACTGCAACGAATAGAAGACGGGTGTAATGAATTAAAAGAAAACCACCACATGATATTAGCTTCAATTAATTCCATTAATAGGATGACAGAAATGTATCGATGTGTGGTTCGCATTTTGAAAAATTGCTGTAAATACGTAACATTAATTTTGTTTCTTGTTTACTTGCTGTTGGTTGGTAAATATATTTTTATTATCATTTTGATTTAAATTGTACAAATACCCTTTACAAATTAATTTGTAAAGGGTATTAGGCCTCCAGGGAAATCCAAAACACGCCAAGAACCCTACCTCACAGGTGGTGTTGAAAGGAGTGTAAATAATTTTGTTGATGCGCTTACAAATTGACTTACTTTTAAGAATAAACATAAATATTCTTGTATTATTATGGTTAGAAGTGTCTGCCACAAGGGGATTGTATTGGTATGAATAACTTGAGAACGGCGAATCTTAGGGGAAAAATTAAAGTTACCTTTTTTACGTATTCTGTGCAGTAGAATATAAATCAGCTACACACTACACTTGCAAAAAAAATACAGTGGCGTAGGTTTTTTGTAAAAAAGGGGTGGCCCCTGTCCAGTTGTACACCACTGGTTGAACCTTTAAAGCTCATATTTTAGAGAATATAAGGCCTACTATAATAGATTATCTGCACCAAATTTTATTGAAATCGGTTAATAGATTCCGGAGATATAAACAATTTAACCAAAAAAACAATTTTTTTAACAATTTTAACACTCTGTATTTCTGAAACAGGGCTGTTCCAGACCAATGTTTATTGTTTATAAAGCAAAAACACATTATTTTAAAGAGATCTATCTGCCCTTCCTGCATAAAATTCGGACCACCCTGTGTCCATAGATGTTTCGTTTTCAAGTCGGATGCTGAAGTTAAAGAAATTAAAAAACTTGAGTCACTTTGTGCACAATGTAGGTATTGGTTATAAATGTTATCCCACTTTAACTCTCTGACTTTTATGTCTGGAAGAAAATGATAAATAAGAAAGTTGTGGCTATCAACTAGGATATATGATGTTTTCTACAAAGTGCTTCTAAAAGGAGTGGCAAACAAAACTTACAATTTTTTATATGAAACACTATGTATAGTATTCCATGTTCAAATAGAAACCATGTGATCATCTGGTTTAATGGGTTTACCTACCCCTAATGCTAAGAAAGATATTGCTATTAGAACATGCCATAAGTGTAATGTGGTCATACATTTCTTATAGCTGTTTTACATTGACAATTTATTGATCAATTAATTCATGAAGTCGCTTCATCAAGAAATTGGACAAGTGTAATGCACCAAATCTGCTGTCAAATAACTTCATGAATTTATTCATCAAGTTCTTGACGAATTAGAGCATGTTCTAATTTTCGTCAATTTCTTCGTGAAGTTCGGAAGTACCAACCCAACAGATTTCCAGCCTCATATCAGTAATGAGGTTATAGTATTGGAATATGTAAATAATTGTGTGGCGTCGTACTAGTTTTGCATTGTTTTTACTGATTTGTTGCTTACAAACACTAATATTTATATATGTGTCAAAACGGTACCGCTGTTGTATCACTACAAATATGAGTGGAAAGGTGACATTTTTAAAATTTATTTGCTTCTTTGATTCGTTGGTAGAACTGATTCATACGTCAAAAAACTTGACAAAGTCTGTAGCAGTGTAAAACCACACTGTTTACAAATAAATTCGTGAATTAATTCATGAAGAACTTCGTCAATTTATTCATCAATAAATTGTCAATGTAAAACAGCTATTATCAGAGGTAGACCGATCAAATTTTATATTATAATACTAATGAAAAAAATTTATATTCACACAAAATAAAAAAATCAAGTTTTGCTTTTTACGCCTTTTGAAAACATCCTGTATAAAATATAATATCATCTTGCTATGCGTTCGGTTGATAGTCACAACTTTCTTATTTAACATTTTTTTTTAATTAAAAAACCGAAAATTAAGCTGAATGGCCTTCATAGCAAATAATAAATAATGTATTGTGGTATCAGAATCAGTGTTTCTCGAAAACGGTGCAATTTATGTATATGATATTGTTTGCAATATATGGATTCTAAATTCTTATTTTTACCAGGAGAATACAGGTACTCTTAAAGAGTATCCACTTCCATCCGACATACATCAATTACCATCATCTGCGAGTTTGGATATTTTAAATGTAAGTTGGCCATGAATGTGACAGTTTAAATTTATTTCTCGTATTGAGGAAGATACAATTAATTGAAAGTTTGACCACGGCTTAAAAACAATGAAAGTTGATATTTACCTTTATTAGTAGCCCTAAATTCTTCATCGTAAATGTGATAAGCCTTGGCGTGAGCTAAAATCACATTCTTCGTGCAGATGTACTCTCCAATCCCATTAGAAACGACACCCGGAGCATAAGCTCCCATACCATATCCTACCTGACAGACCTGTTTTGATTCATTAATGGTAATCCACATCTTCACGTCATCTTTAAAGAGTTCGAAGCACAATCTCGCGTACTCTGCGAAGAGATCCGCCACAGTTTCGTTCAACCAACCTCCGAGCTGGTCCTCCAAGACTTGAGGAAGATCCCAGTGATAAAGTGTCACCATAGGTTCCACGTTGGCAGCTTTCAGTTCAGCGAACAAGTTCTTGTAATATTGCACGCCAGCCTGGTTTACTTTATCAGTGTATCCCGTGGGCAAGATTCTAGACCAGGCAATTGACAGTCGGTAGTGGTCCAGTCCCATGGCTTTTACCAGAGCCACGTCCTCCTTGTATTTGTGGTAGGAATCGCTAGCTATATCTGGCGTAGAACCATCAATGATCATCTCTGGGTGGGTGTGGGCGAAATGGTCCCAGATACTTTCAGTTTTACCGTCTTCTATCCAGCCTCCTTCGATCTGGGGGGCAGCATTAGCTACTCCAAACTTGAAGCCTTCAGGAAAGTACCGAGAGTTGATCTCCTCATCTGCTAATCTAAAATGTATACTACGGTGTTGACAGCTTTTGACATCAAAATAATACAGCACAACTTTAGTATTGTAGTTTTTACTTATTTGGGTACTTCTACATAATATTGTATAAATGATATGAAAATTGCAAATTTTGCAAAAATTGAAGTTTAATTAGATTAGAATTACCCCAAGTATTTAATCACTAACTGAATGGTGTAAGAAATTGAAAGCCATGTTTCTCTGGAACAATGCATTTTAGCCACATGAAGAAGCATAATTTTTTTAAGAGCAAAATGGCATTTTAAAAACATGTCTATTTTTGAGGCGTTTTCAGTTTTTTTTTATAGTCGACTAAGGATAAAATATTAGTTTTTTCTTTTTCTCACAATTATTTTTAATTTTCTTTATAGTTACATCCATTTAAATTTTAATTTGATACTAACTTGATAATGTAATTTTGATATTAGGCGAGGCAATGAAGCACAAAAGTTCGGAATTTTTTCCATAAAGACGGATCGGAATGCGGTTTTTTGCATTCTCTTTCAAACTTTTTTTGTAAAAAATGTTGTTACTTTGTGTTTCTGACAAACCGGAAATTGCATTGCTGCAGCCAAAAATGCATTCAAAAAATGCATTTTTTGAGACGCCTTTTGGAAGATTTCAAAACCTTTTAAATAAGAGTCAGAACTGGCCCAAATCGGGTACTCGGGGGTTTTCGAGGTCGCTGATCACGATTATGATGTTCAAATTGACCCCCCGAACATCTGGAGCTCAGGAAAGTCGATGAACGTATATAGGAAGGAAAATTTTGAGAAAAATAAAAAACAGCTCTCAGTTGATTATGGAAAATATATTTTACAATGTACATCACCTTTAGAGATTTCAACCTTTACAAAAGACGTTTTTTTTATTCCGCATATTCCTTTTGATTTTTTTTTGTTTTGAAAATTGCTAAGGGCTTCACACTTTATTATCAAAATATGTACACATTCATTTTCACCAGCCGCCTTAGGTCTGGCATGCATGATATTAGGAACGAAAATAACCTAAATGCTTATACAGCATTATGACGACGTTCCCCGAAAATTAAAATAATAGAGGTTTGAAAATAGACGGTAAAAAAATTACAGGATAATAAATATGCCCTGTTTAAAATTTATTATTTTAAATGGCTAATAAAAATCGAATAAAACTTGGCATAAAATTTGAAGAGTACATTATAGATTGCAATGGAGGAACAATTATTCACAGTGGCAGAGATGTAGGGAGTAATTTTTATTTAAAAAAATATATCCATCCTGTCAATTCTTCACAAAAGTGTCCCAACAATACTGAACTTAAATAGTTCATCTCTTTCCATTTTCAATTAAAAAAATTAAAACGAGTCAAAATCTTCAATTTTTCACTAATAACTTCAAAACAAAAAAAGATCTTAAAGTTATTAGTCTTCGAACTCCGCAACTTTGTACTAATTTGACCGATCTTGTATCTCTTAAGATAACCGAGATCTCAGTGGTGCGACTCAAAAAGCCGATACCCTGTACAAGAAAATGATTTACTTACGTAGGTATAATAAAATAAAAATGTTTCACTTATTGCAATAAATCACTTTTATAGACAAAAATTCAAGATTACGATATAATTAATATGCTAATAAACGAGAAATGCATAACAAGAAAACTGGTTAAAGTTTATCACCCACTATAACAAAGAGGTGTCGAATCTACATTCATCTTAGCTTTTTCACTTATAAATATTTGTCGGTGAAATATTGCATCACTATATTTTGTTCTTATAACAACAATAATCTACTGGGTCTTATAATTTGAGACTACATGATTTCTATTCTCAGATTCAAATTTTTCCTTTAGGCACATTCTCTTTATTATATTTAAACCAGAACATTGTAAAACATAAAATTATTGGACTTACCCCAAAGATGTCAGGGACAAAATAAAAAAAAAGACCTTCATGATTGCGTAAAGTTACTAACTAGCAACTACTCGAATTATTTCTTTTCTAATCTTTTATACTCAATTTAAAACATATGTACTTATCGAGATACAACTACAAGTATTATACTTTGGTATGTACTTCATATATTTTTAAACATGCCTCCTTTAACAATAGGTATATCTAAACACTTGAATTAACCCCAGAAACTTCGAAAATTGTTAGTAAGTAAATAGCCTCACGATATTATAGTTTTCTGATAAATTCATTCACTACTTGAATTTACTAAGTCGAAAAGGAATATACAAAGATATTAAGATATGTTAACTGAAAGAATTGAAGATTAAAAATATATATTTAATAGAAATAAACAAATTTACTAATTAAAAAATGTGTATTAGTTTATATTTATAAAAACATGTAGAATCCTCGACCAAAAGGACTTAAATATTTCATGCAATGTGTATTCAGTTCCGTGTTTCAAAGAAGATAGTGTTTTGTTTTTTGATATTGACTAATTCAAGATTTAACAACGCGAGGCCACGAACTTTCAGGACTGATTCCTCACCTCAAAACAAATAAAAAGCAAGTTATTCTTAAAATGATTTCTAAGGGCTCTATGATCCTTCAAAGGTTAGACGTGAAACACAGTTTTTGAACAATTATTTAAGAACCATCGAAGCTATAAACTAACCATTGGTGCAATGTAATTTCTCTATAGTAGTTATCATAAATCAGCCAATGGTTTCGAAATTAGAAAGGTTTTCCAAGGTTTCAGCTGTTTGATTTTACAGAGAATTTTGAAAATTAGTAGGTAGGTAATTATAAAAAATTATGTTCAAATCAGTCAAAATCAAAACATCGCAGCGCACATTGAAGATTGAGGTTAGAAATCTTTCAGAGCTTCATCGCCATATTTGTGTAATCAACAGAAAAGATATAAAACTTTTATTGGTTTCTCTCATTTTACTACAAAGCTAAACATACATAATATATCCCTCTCTCTTATAACTTTGTTTGCAAATGTTTCTAGTTAAGCTATTGAGTGTATTAAACTTAAAATTTTAATAAATTAGTTCAATGATTATTATTTAATTGGCATTAACTATTGCGCAATATTAATCCATACTCAAAGTACCAGGCTCTGTTGTCATGGTATCTTGATTGGAAATGGTCCAATTCTCTAAAATCTCTAAACGTCAAATTTTTTTTGATAATCGACTCCCAGACTCCTACTGACTCCGATGCCACTGATTAGTTTTTGTTCAAATACAAGAAGAACTGTTCCAAATATGAACTCTATATTTCCACGATAAAAATCAGTTTGGGGATAAACCATGATCACTTAAAATTTTTGACAATCACATATCTTTAGCAAAATAACTTATTAATGTTACAAGGCTGTGCCAATGAACGATATGCCAGTTTATTGTAAAGTACCCATCTAAGTGGATCTTAAAATTCTTTTAATTATTGATAAGATCATTGATAGTACTATTATTAATATTGATATTCTTCTTATTATTTATTTTCTAGTTCGAATTTTGCATATCTTGAAAAACATTTTCAAATACGATGATTATGATGTAAAAGGTTTTTTTTCATTATAAATAATAAGTGGCTGGATACATATTTTAATGGGAAAGAAATCTTACATTTATACACATTTTATTTAAAATTAATTGGCTCAATAGTCCGAGATGGTTGCATCCTTTCCGTTTTCGTTTTAGCCTTGTACGATCTGAATGTTTATTCAGTCTATTCACAAGAAAGTTATCCGCCCTCTACAGTTTCTCTTCGAGGTGAACAAAAAAACATTTTATTTTATTTATTCATATTTTTCGAAATTCTTTTTTTAAATTTTTAAGACACAAGTTGAAAGTTAAAAAAGCTAAAAATTAAACCTTAAATGTAATATAGTTACGAGGGTGGTCTGAAAAGTTTCCGATCTAACAAAGATACAAGATATTTTTTCAGATTTTTTTTTTATTTTTCAACATAGTCTCCTTGTAACTCTACACACTTCTCCCAGCGATGCTCCCATCCCTGTAATCCGTCCAAATAGTACTCGGTGTTTTTCTCTGCAAAATAATTGTTCACGAAGGTGATTGCCTCTTCATTTGACGAAAATCTCTGTCCTCCGAGCGCAATTTTTAGATGAGGGAACAAAAAGAAGTCGCTTGGGGCTAGATCTGGTGAGTAAGGCGGATGATCAAGCAGTTCAAACCGTAATTCGTGGATTTTCGCCATGGCAACCGCTGAGGTGTGAGACGGTGCGTTGTCTTGGTGAAACAGGATTTCTTTTCTGCAAATGTGGCCGTTTTTCCGCAAGTTCTGCCTTCAGCTTGTCAAGTAATGATGCGTAGTATGCTCCTGTAATGGTTTTTCCTTTTTGAAGATAATCGATTAAAATAACTCCATGACTATCCCAAAAAACAGTCGCCATCACTTTCCCAGCCAAAAAAACAGTGTTTGCTTTTTTTTGGAGCCGGTTCCCTCTTTGCAGTCCACTGTTTGGACTGTATTTTTGTTTCGGGCGTAAAATGGTGTATCCAAGTTTCATCTACAGTAATTAATTGGCGCCAAAACTCGGATTTATTGCACCTAAACTGCGCCAACAGAGCATTAGAAATGTTCATTCGAACACGTTTTTGGTCTAACGTGAGCAAACGCGGCACCCAACGCGCGGACAGCTTTTTCATGTTTAAATGTTGATTTAATAGGTGACAAACACGTTCTTTTGACATGTTCGTAACCTCTCTCTCTTTCACTTTAATTCGGAGGCCGTCTAGCACTATTTGGTGAACTTTGGCGATGTTTTCGTCGGTAGTTGCAGTTTTTGGACGTCCCGAACGTTCATCGTCTCCTAAGCTCTTACGGTTACGTTTAAATTCAGCTGCCCGAAATTTCACTGTTGTAAATGATGGTGCCGAGTCCCCATACACATAATCCAACTCATCTTTGATTTGTGTAGGCGTATTGCCTTTCAAAAACAAATATTTAATGACAGCTCATTATCGATTTTGTCCATTTTCATAAAAACACTCACATCAAATCACTCAAACGACTGTTACATAACAACTACGCGTCCATAATGGCTGAAACTTTGGTGAGTAACTGTCAACAGATGAACAACGAAATTCACTAGCTTTTATTTACGAGTGCTGCCATCTTCATGTTGAGGTCGGAAACTTTTCAGACCACCCTCGTTTTTACAAAGAAACAACTCAAGAGGTTTTCTTAAATATTAATGGCATTAAATATTTTCCACAAGCTGATTAGGTGTCCCATATAGGTGTACATAAGTTTTTAAGGGCAATATAAGTATATGTTATATTTTTATTACTATTATAAATTGATGCATATGAATATAATGAAATATGATAATTCTCATGAAAGTGCATTTTCTCCTAATATGTAAAAATGTACAGTGTAATCTATTAAAAAAAATGAATGGTAGACATGGGCCGGATGGAGAGGGGGAAGAGAGAGTCACTTACTCCCCTCTTAGCTTTTGCACCCCCTACACAAAATTACCTTTGAATCAGAAAACAATACTGGTAATTTTTAATTGCTTTTTAATCATTTCCATGGCTTGTATTTGCTCTTGTCCCTTTGGCAAATATCCTGTCATCCTTTACCTACTATAATAGTTTGTTTCCTGTCAGTTTTTTGTTTATTCGACTGAACTGGAAAAGGTATACAAATTACGGAGGATTTCCCATACAAAACATTAGTTTCTATCTGTAATTACTAGAGATCGGAAATGTTATTTAAACAAAAAGTGGCACAACCGTTGCCTTCTTATACCAAAAACTAGGAAAGTAGGGAAACAGTAAGCAACAACTTTCGGTCGAGGTAAGACATCTATTAAATATTGGACCTGCCAAAACTTTTACTCGGCAAGAAGTACTCGAATGTTGGAACTGTAGAGAAAAAGGACATATTAAATCAAGATATCTCAAAGACCGTCTCCATTGAAACTAGAAGAGAAACGCAGATACAGTATCTAGAAGACCATACCTCAAAAAATACTCACATTGTAACCGAGCAGACAAACGAATTTGGAAAAGAAACAAGAGTTGATTGATTGACTACGGGTTTCTACGAAACTTGACTGACAGTATAAAATAAATTATTAGTTGGAAAGAACATGAGACTCGACCAAAATGAACAAAAATTAAACAGTTACTGGGTAATATAGGGTTCACTCATCATCCTAGAAAATGACTTACTGAAGCAGCAGGGACAAAGTCCATATGACAGAGAAGTTCGAAAGCAGGATGTGCTTCCAAAGAATAGAATCAAAGAAGTGCCGAGAGAAGTCTAAAGTGAAATTGGTGGAGGATACTTCGGCAAGAACAAGTTTTCGAATAAAATCAGGGAAATGTTCTACTGCCTGAGCAGCCGAGCAGATGTAGAAGATTGGTGTGGCCAGGATACTGATTGTTCCAGTAGCAAGAGATCTAGAATCAGAAGCCGAAATCAAATCAACCAATACAACGTTGGAGTTCCCTTCAAAAGAATTGGCGTAGAGATCGCCTAATCGTTCCCCCAACTGAATCGGAAATCATTACCTTCTGGTAGTGCTAGAAGATCAAGAAGCAGAAGTTGAAAACCTCTTCTGCAGATTTGGCGTTCGGATGAAGGGAAAATTTTTGAATCGGATGTGTTCCAAAGAGTATGCCAGATGATGTATATCCAAAAGACCAGAACACCTCTGCATCCACAGTCTGACGGCATGCTGGAGATTTAATCGGATCCTGCGAGAAGCCGTCAACAAACATCAAACCGACTGCAGTCCATGAGACTACCGGACGAACACCAGCCAGCATAGTCTTCGATACAGTATTGGGGTTACCTTCGACATTGTTTTTTGCTACTCAGAAAATTAAGTTTGAAAACTGTGAGCTGAAAGCACGGTACGTTGTCAGAGCCAACATCAGTTGGTTCCAGGCAGGTGATCAGGTATCCATTTCCGAACGATTTAAAGAATAAGTAGTCCCTGGGAAGTAATAATATTTGTTGCTAATTATTTTCCCGTTTTTACTAGGGACAGGCGACAC